ATAAATAAATTATATTAAATTAGTTTAGAAACTTTATATATTTTAATTGCAAATATTTTACCAATTGCTTCTTTAAAAACATTAGGGAACTTGCTATACTCTACCAATCAAGCCCAGTGACACTCCATTTATTTTCCATCACTCGAACACTGAAAAGTAAAAAGATATATGAAATCAGATCCATTAAATTCTAAGATTTCATTTACATTTCTAATTAAAGTTGTTTTTGATCATACGTATAGATAATTATATAAAAATTCCAAAATTCTAAAATTTCAAATACATACAAAAACAATCATATGTAAATTTTAAATTTGTGAATATTAAAATTTTATATTTTAATTACATATATTCACCCTGCGCAAGGCGCAGGTCTTATCCTAGTTTATTCATTATAATCCATCACTGATGATTTGAAATCCATTTATATCATAAAGAATTTTAAAATCCTTAAAAGTTGAATAACACCAGATTTTAAAACCTAAAATTCAATCATAGAATGAATAACACTGAATTTTAAAATAGAATTTAAAATCATTAATTGAATAATAGTGGACTGTGTTTAGATTTAAACTCTTTTAAAATACATGATTGAATAACACTATCTTAAAATAAAAAAATTTATGTGTATAAGCAAAACATAAAAAGTTAGATACGATATACTTCAGCTTTGAAAAAAAGCTTTGCTATTTTTGCTAGTTTATATAATTTTTAGTCTGATTTTCTGACAGAATTTTGGAAATGTTTAAAATTTAAGATCTCGATTATAGTTTTTTATTTGTCTCAATTATAAATTCATATAATTTTACAATCCACATTGTACATAATATCATTTTCTAATATATATAAATATAAAAAAGTTCAAAAATTAAAAAAGAACTATAAAACTCCAATGTACTGGTTGGTAATCTTTGTTATAAATCTTTATTCTTATGCGTCTCAAGAGTTCTGTAAAATGTTTTTACAACATATTTTTAGTGGGATCTATACACGTACGCCCTCAAACAACTCTTAAACTTGTAACCAAAGCAAAGTGTCTTCTCACTGATAAATTCTTAATACATTCAACTTATTAACTTGTAATGTAGGTAAAGTGTTCTCTCATAATCCTTATTTCTTTCTCTTGTATGGAAATTCTTGTAAAGCTACAATCCGAGGTTCATATACTGTAACTGTATAATCCAAATAGTGCATGTCCTAAAACATTAACCAAAACATGTAATTTCGTAAAGTTAAAACAAAGCGTTACAACTTTTAAAAACAGAAAACTTATCTCTCGAGTCAACGAAAAAAACATGAATTGGAACATATCTTTTTTTTTTCTGTTCTCATTGATTCTATATGGAAGTAGGTAGATGTGAGAGAGAGACTCGACAAATAGCATGAACCATGAACTTCCTTTTTCCTAACTTCAACTGTTAAAAAGACCAAGACTTAGGTTTCCACATTTGAAAATCAATTGTTCCAAAGTTGAAAACTATTTGCTTTCACCGCGATTTTCTCTGACTAGCTAAAAAACAAAAGTTACAAACACACAAAGACAGAGTTGTTAGGCATCAAGTCAACAACTCTCCCAACCTAACATTAACCTAAAGCAACCCACTTTCGTTTAATAAACAAAACTTTAACCTATAGTTTCTATATAGCCCACAAAAGTCAATAATCCTAACCTTATTATATACACCCACATCCTCATCTTCATCCATTATTAACGTCACTTTACCCTTAAAACCAGTTTTTCCTCCACCCCCAAAAAATGAAGAGCCAAGTTGTTGTAATCAAATGGGTTTTAGTTTTCATAGGATTCACAATCTTCTGCGTAGAAGCTGAGACGATCAAAGAAGATAAACACACTCTTCTTCAATTCATTAGCAACATAACTAACTCTCATTCACTAAACTGGTCACCAACTCTTCCTATATGTACCAAATGGACCGGTGTTACATGCGACTCCCACCATTCCAATGTCATCGGTCTTCATTTAGCAGCCACGGGTCTTCGCGGGCATCTCAAGCTAAAGGACATAGCCAGATTAACTAATCTTCGGTTTCTCATTCTCAGCTCTAACAACATCTCTGGACCTTTTCCTTCAAGTTTTCAAGCTTTGAAGAACTTGACCGAGCTTAAACTTGACTTCAACGAGTTCTCTGGTCCTTTGCCTGATGATGTCTCTTCTTGGGAGCGTCTAAGAGTTCTTGATCTCTCTAACAACCGGTTCGATGGTAGTATCCCATCTTCTATTGAGAAGCTGGCTCAGTTACACTCTTTGAAGCTTGCTAATAACAAGTTTTCCGGTGAGATTCCTAATCTCCATGTTCCTGGTCTGAAGCTGCTGGACTTAGCTCACAACAATCTAACCGGAACTGTTCCACCGTCATTACAGAGATTCCCACTCTCATCATTTGTCGGAAACAATGTCTCCTCTGCAAAGCTGGCTCCTGTAAGGAACCACCACCACCACCACAGCCATTTAGTTCTTGGCATAGCGTTAAGCGCGTGTTTTGCGCTACTAGCTATACTCGCTATCTTATTGGTGATCATCCACAACAGAGAAGAGCAGAGAAGATCCACAAAGGAGAAACCAAGCAAGAGGAGGAATGATTCAGATCCAAACCTAGGTGAAGGAGGTAATAAGATTGTGTTTTTCGAAGGGAAGAATCTTGTCTTTGACCTTGAAGACTTGTTGAGAGCTTCTGCAGAGGTTTTAGGGAAAGGACCGTTTGGGACAACCTACAAGGTTGATGTTGAGGACTCGGCGACCATCGTTCTGAAAAGGATCAAGGAAGTGTGTGTCACTCAAAGAGAGTTTGAGCAGCAGATTGAACAGCTTGGCAACATCAAGCATGAGAATGTTGCTACTTTGAGAGGATATTTCTACTCTAAGGATGAGAAGCTTGTGGTTTATGATTACTATGAACATGGAAGTCTTTCTACATTACTACACGGTACGTTATACACCATTACACTATCCTAAATATATCATAGGTCATAGTTGAAATGATTTTTTTTAATCTGATTTATATGATTCAAATCGATTTAAATTATTATAAATCGGTTAAATGGTTTAAATCAATCTAAATTAGTTTAAATTTGTTAAAATCAATCAATAAATCAGTTACAATAATGTTAGTCTAATTTGTTTTGAATTTCTAATTATAATTCATCAAACTAATTTTATAACTAAATTCAAGAAACTAAAATATCTTATATAAATATAATATATATCTATATATATGATAAATTAATAATTTGTTAACACTTAGACCTCGTCTAGGCATTGAATAATCCGCATCACTAGTTGTAAAGCACTTAATTAATAACCATTGTTTATCTAGATTTCTTGAACATTGTACATAATATATGTTACCATTCAGGTCAGAGATGTCTCTCAAATAGGAAACCTCTAGATTGGGAAACTAGACTCAACATGGTGTATGGAGCAGCAAGAGGAGTAGCTCACATCCACTCACAAACCGGAGGCAAACTAGTCCATGGAAACATAAAATCCACAAACGTTTTCCTCAACACCAAAGGATATGGCTGCATCTCCGGAGCAGGAATGGCCACGCTGATGCATTCGCTACCGCGACACGCATCTACCTACCGTGCACCGGAGATAACAGACACAAGAAAGGGGACTCAACCATCAGACGTGTATAGTTTCGGCGTGTTGATATTCGAGGTGCTTACAGGGAAACCAGAGGTGGGCAACCTGGTGAGGTGGGTGAACTCAGTGGTTAGAGAGGAGTGGACAGGAGAAGTGTTTGATGAAGAGCTGATGAGGTGTACTCAGGTGGAGGAAGAGATGGTGGAGATGCTTCAAGTTGGTATGGTTTGCACGGTGAGGTTACCGGAGAAGAGGCCGAATATGAGTGAGGTTGTGAGAATGGTGGAGGAGATAAGACCGGAGAAGCTAGCTAGTGGGTATAGATCAGAGGTTTCTACAGGGTCAACTCCATTAGGAAGTATGTCAGGGTCACCGTATATATTATGAGAAAGACTATTCATCTTTCATGTAATGCATTTGGTAATTGAGAAAATAATTTTTAATGGTTAGTAAATGATGTTATTGAAGGCATACATAAATTTTGTACACTTTGCGATATTCAAAGAGAGATTATATAGTTCTTATCTAAGGAAGAACAGAGTATTAATCCAAATTTCAGCAAAAAAAAAAAAGAGAAAGAAAAAGAACAGAGTATGAATAAGGGGAATTAGGCCTAGTAGGCATAAGAAACAAACAAAAAAAATAAATAACCATAGTAAGGCTTTAGTTATGATATAATTGATTTTTCTCTCTTTATTCCCCATTTTATCCTTAACTTGCGCGTGGAATCGAATCATAGCTTTTGTTTTCTAAACTGTAGTTGTAATACATTATATCGGATTACAAACTGGAAAAGATGAGAGAGATCGAGGAGGCGTCAAAACTTCGGTGACGGAAGGAATCAGAAATCAGAGTTATATTCTTCAACCATGAAAAGAATAGTTTAAACTGTAATTGTAAGACATTATATCTGGTCACAATCCAATTTTTTTTGTAGATCTAATTGAAGTAGTTTACTGTGGGACTGAGCGCAGTAGTGAAGGATGAAGAAGATAAAGTAGAACCCTATAATATGTGAGAAAAATTAATAGCATAGTAACCGTATACCGATTCCTACAATTTGCATACAATAGTATAGTATGTAAATTCACTTCAGAAATGTGTCACTCTTCTCATTTTGTATTTTGTGCATGTTTATATGTTTCCTCTCAAAGCACTTGAATATTTAGCTTTATATATCTAGTCGCCTTTCAACATAGGGATGTTATTCTCGATGGTCGCTTTGTGTGTTAATGTATGCTCTATACTATCCAATATATACTATAGTATAGTATATAACCTATACATACATTCCACCTGCTATTGCATACTTCTGTCATTTCCAGTATGTTCATCATATTGTATGTTGGTTTCATTTGCAAACATCCAACATCTTTTTCATTCTCCTCCACCACATGACTTCGTTATAGTTTTACTATACTTTCTTGAGGTAAGATGTTATATTTTCTGAGGTAAGATGTTATATTTTCTATACTAGTTATTGTATACAATAGTATAGTATGTAAATTCACTTTAGAAATGTGTCACTTTTCTCATTTTGTATTTCGTGCATGTATATATGTTTCCTCTCAAAGCACCTAAATATTTAGCTTTATATATCTAGTCACCTTTCGACATAGTGTACCCCTTTTGTATGTTAGTCTCAATGGTTGTTTTGTGTGTTAATGTATGCCCTATACTATCCAATATATACTATAGTATATTATATAACCTATACGTACATGCCACATGCTATTGTATACCCCTCCCCCTCTCCCTCTCTCTCTGCTTCTCTCCCCCTCCCTCTCCCTCTCCCCGTGCCCCTCCCCCTGTCCCTCTTCATCTCCCCGTTCCCCTCCCCCTCCCATTGTCCCTCTCCATCTCCATTTCCCTCTCCCTCTCCCTCTCTATGTCTTTGTCCAAGTCCATGTCCATGTCTCCCTCCCTCTCCCCTCCCTCTCCCTCTCCTTCTATATTTTACCTACCAACAATCAACACAATTTTACTTATCAATAACGAACACAGTTTTATACCTGATGAGACATAGCATGATTGTATGCTATGTCTCATCTAAACAGTCCTCCAATTTCTTGCTGATTTTGTTTCCATTCCATCTTGCACAATCCTATCACGTATATAGTATAGTATTTTTTTGCCCCCATATAAGCGGCTTCACTGTGCGCGTTTGGTGTAAGGGTTACCATATTTTGGCCTCTACCTAATTCTCTCTGCGTGAACATCATCGCATATGCTTATCCCTCGTGTTTTTACGCGCCGATCTCATCTTCAACATATGTATTTCATGTACTATACTATTTTATTGATAGTAGACATTGTATACCCTCCATCCCTCAACGTCAGCTTTCTTTACCTTTCTTCCACTTACCCCCCTAATTTACATCTCGACTTGAACAATAAAACGTTTCTCACTTTCCTATACTACTACTGTCATATTATAGTCAATTACATTTCCTTATACATTCAATTTCTTAGTAAACTCACAGTGTTATAGTTGTAATATTCTACTCGCTCAACATGACGCGCCCGCGATTACAAGGACAAAACAGTCCACAAACGTGCATAATTGTCAAATCACATGTTTGATGGCTATATTCTTTATTTCCCTTTCTCTTATGATTATTCAGCAAATTGCCCCTATTAATAAACAACATACAATAACCTGAAATAAAGATAAACCGATAATCGAAATAAACAATAACCGATATGAACCGAACCGAACCGAATAACCATTACAAGTGGGATAGAGAGAAAAGACGTGGCTTATGATGAATCGTCTGATCCGAATATAAGATCTCATCCGTTAGATTAAACGACTTTTTAAAAATCAACGTCGGTTTTAAATACCACTTGATGTGAATTTAGTCATGAAAACCGCCGCGTTGTTTTAAAAAAGGTGAGTCCACTAGTGAATCCGCACCTTATTTAACGTGGACGCAACCACAGAGAATCAAATTACTTCTTCCTTTTTCGTCCACCACCCCTTTTTTTCCTTTAGTCTTCGTTCTCCCCTTCTCCTAAACCACGAGAAGAAAAAGGCGAGAACCTCGCCGAATCGGAGATACTCGAAACCAAAGGTATATATTCTTTCTTCTGCCTTAAATCTTTTGGATCTATTGGTTCTCTTTACAGATTTGTAGGAAACTCTTTTGTAATCAATCTTTTGTTTTATAGATCGTAGGTTTTTTTTGGATATGGCGTCGAAGCGGATCTTGAAGGAACTCAAGGATCTCCAGAAGGATCCACCCACCTCTTGTAGCGCAGGTGTGTGTTTATGTGATGTTTGGTTTGGATCTGAAGCTAAAGTTGTTGACTTTACCTCATGAATAGCTCAAAACATAGATCTGGTTTGGTGTAGATAGATCTTGTAATAATTATATGTCTTGGAACTTGTTCATTGTGTTGGTTGATGAGATCTGGTTTGATACTTGTGAAAGAAAAAAAAGCTGATCTCTTTGTGTGTAAGATCTCATCTTTTTGTAGATTTGATATTGAGTTAATATGCGGTTTTTTTTTTTTTTTATTACAGGACCTGTTGCTGAAGACATGTTTCATTGGCAGGCAACGATAATGGGTCCTTCAGACAGTCCTTACGCTGGTGGTGTTTTCCTTGTTACCATTCATTTCCCTCCAGATTACCCTTTCAAACCTCCTAAGGTAACTCCTATTTTTTTAATTTTTGCTTTCTTCTTTGTGTTTTTTGCTTCATTGTTTATTCATATTATGGTGTTGCGAAATCTGTAGGTGGCCTTTAGGACGAAGGTGTTCCATCCCAACATCAACAGCAATGGAAGCATTTGCCTCGACATCTTGAAGGAGCAATGGAGTCCTGCCCTCACCATTTCCAAGGTTCGGTTTTATTCTTATTCTTTACCTAAACTTCATTGTAACATCTACAGGTGCTAACATTGAGCTGTCTCTTAAGGCGTTTAGATTTGACTTTGTGTTCCTTTTCTTTTTCTGTTCCTGATAACATTGAGGAAGAAGAATGGGTTGTTTCAGTTTCTAACACCAACTTTGTAATGGACAGGTGCTGTTATCGATCTGTTCGTTGTTAACCGATCCAAACCCGGATGATCCTTTGGTACCTGAGATAGCTCATATGTACAAGACTGACAAGAACAAGTATGAGTCCACTGCACGGAGCTGGACTCAGAAGTATGCCATGGGTTGAGAAAGGAAACCCCCAAATCTACTAAACTATCTCTTTAAATGATAAAAAAAAAACTGCCGTAATTTCTATGTATGATTCAATAGACATCTCTTTGTGTCCTTTTTTAAATTTCTTTAAAGACAATGACCAAATGAAGTGGGTCTTGTTTTAAACCAAACATCTTTGTGAAAACAGAAACTGAAAATCTTTCTGGTGCTTTGTTTTGTGTTGCAATTATGATTTGATGTTTTTTTTTTCTGTTTGATATTAAAGTAAACAACCAACTGTTTAGTTTATTCCTCTGCCATATATTTCAATTTTACTACTGGCACTTTTCTAATGAAGTTTTCTTTCTATTGGCTTGGCATCGGAAGTGCTACAATGTGTGGACTTATCAAATGAAACTGAATAGTCATATCGTTGTTATTGAATTACCATGTAAATCGCTTAGGTCGAAATTCAAATCTAGACTGGTTAATTAGTTCTCAGAGGAAATCTAATTCTAGACCAAAGAATTTAGTCATGTCCCATGAAATATTCACTATGCTACCATTATTAGGTTAAACTTTTTAGGGTAAACTTTTTTATAGTGATAAGCTCCACTGTTTGTGCAGTCCAAAATTCAAGAAATCCCTCTCCTCTCACGGATTTAAGGGTTAATACTAGTACGGGGAATACACTTACGTAAAAAAAAGAATTTATATAGAGACCACTGCACTGATTGAAAGTTGAGCTCGTGACATAGAGGCAGTTGTACGTGAAAAACGTGACCAGATAAATACAAGTGCTTCTCCTTTTTTAATGAAGTTTAGAGGTTCAAGGGTTTGAAACCAACCACATAGGAGACATGATTGAATAACTCCCCATTGACCAATGTGAGCTCTTGTTGCAAACGTATCCTTTACAGCTTGTGTCGACCAACTATTGACTTTACCCCCACTCCGTTTTGAAGAGAAGAAATTTTTTTTTTAACACTTGATCATGCTTCCATTTTTTACTTTGTTTTCCGATTATAATTAGTTTTATACCATGATGTTTATGGATTGAACTCAAAATTATGGGCCTTCAGATCCGTAACTCAACTCCTCCAAGCTTAGGAGTTAGGAGTATCACTTCTCTTGTCCATTTTCTACAATTCCGAACGTAATATAAAACACATTCAGTAACACCATTAGCCTTTTCCTTGTCTGATATGTTCAGCGTAACAACATCGACGTCTGTTTTTCAATATATATTCACCGGTCCTTTATACTATCTTACAATCTGTAACAGATTGTAAGATTTATCGGTTTGATTTGGGGATATCCACGGGCTGACACTCCAAGAGATTCAAACCCAACTTTTAAAGATTTGGTGCTGAACTGCTGATTGAAAGAATATACTGTATAAAATAAAAATCGGTCTTCCATGTTTTTTGGGTTTATTGATAAAGGAGACATAACTATCATATAGGTGTTGCATGTTCCAAAGTTCTAAAATAATTATTGTAAACCCTAAACTAATAGTCGCACGGTTAAAGAGACATTACAAACTTAGCGATTCGTCATTAATATGTCGGCTGCATTAACTTCCCTACTTGATTTCTCCTTCCTAAAACTAGTAAGCAGTAATTCATTTAATTTCCTTCCACAAAACCTAATTTACTTCTAATGTATTCGTTTGGTTCATTTTAGGTGTTCCTGCGGGTTTAAATAAGAAAGTCTTATCTAGATGACAAAAAAAAATATGTAAAGAACGAGCGACGAATTTTCATTTATGTCACTAAGAACATTTCTAAAAGACTCTCTATAACATCAATTATAGAGATTTTTATTCTCTAAAACAAATTTTAGAACTTCAAATTTGAAGTTTTGGTGAGTGGAACTTCATTTCACTTCTCAAAACTTCAAATTTAAAGTTTCATATTTTTATTTGCAATTTGATTATTATATTTATATATCTTATTTATGATTTTTAAGTATTTTTTTATTTATCATCTTAATCTTTTCAAAAATTATATCTCACAAATTTTCAAATTTATTTCTATAAATTAAGTTTTACACATAAAATTAAGTAAGAAAATAAAATAAGATTTATATAATTTTAAAACTAGAATTAGACAACATTACAAAACAAACTTAACTAATTTTTTTTAAAAAAGGTACATGAAAACATAACTATTGTAAGAATTAAAATATTACAACAACACTAATAATCTAGTAAATCTATCTCGGAAGCTCCAAAATGCATAACTTGATAATTAAGGATGAACGTGATATTAATGCGCCGATAAAAGATACAAGATCAATGGTAGAATCAACAGTTGATATGGTGGAAAATGAAGATATTTTTTCAACAATTCTTAGCTCGTAATCTACAAATTAAAAATAAATAGAGTCATTTCTTACTTTGAAATGCACTAGTTGATCACATATGGGAGGAGTATTAAGGAAAAAAAATTATAAAATAATGTGATATTTTGCTTGTAGTTTAATATTTAATTATGTATTTTTATTTCTAGCTTCATATTTTAATGTAAACTTTTATTAATTAACATTTTTGTAATATTTTTATATATGTGTTAGTTATTTATAAAAGTTTTATGAATTTTATTAATTGTGACAAATATAAAGACCATAATGTAAAATACAAATAATTATAAAGCTAGTTTTGAAGTTTTTTTTTGGAGAAATTTTTTTTGAAACTTCAAATATAAAGTTCATTTTTGCAGATCTTTATCCCTCAAACTGAGATTTTTATTACTTTTTGTCTGATTAAAAACAAAAATTAAAAAATGAACTAATCGCAGATTCACGTATCAGAGAGACCCACGAACACTACAAAGAATCCATTTAAATTGGTTTTTATTTGAAGGTTTATGTAATCGGTTTTTATAGTTTTTGTGAGTTTTCTAGATTACGAAATCTCTTAATAACCTGGAATACAGATGCCCTAAGTTCTCTTATTGAAACTTGTAGGAACATATTAGTATTCCTTTTAAAGGTATCATGAACATCATACATATGACCTTAAAAGCTATTATAATCATACATCATATGATCTATGGGATCATAATATTATTTCCGTATAGGATGGAATTATTATCAATAATCTCATTTTTAATTTTATTATATTTTAAATGATGTTCCATCAATCAAATATATTACTTGTATATAGCAGTGATATATGATTTAAGGTTTACGTTTTATTCAGCAACAGTATTTTTTCTGTCATATACAAGTTCATAAGAAACAATTCTTTATATTTTTTATTTACAATAAACAGTTTATTAGTTTAAAGAAAAAAAAACAGTTTATTTAAACACATATAAAACCACGATAACCAGTTCTACATTTTTTTATAAGGAATTGAAATATTTGAAGAACTTTGCACTTGTAATCTGTAAGAAATTAAGTTTATGATAGCAATAAGATCATATATAGTTATATACTATATATAGATTGGTTTGGGCTTGCCGAAGCTTCTTTCGAGGTCTAATCCGAATTGTTTTATTATTGTTTCCACTACTCAAGCACTATCTCAAACCATTTAAGTAAAACATCTAAGTTACTTATAGTTTCTAAAAAACTGGTTATTATTTTTCTTGCCATTATAATTAACGTATGATGGACCACTCCACCAGGCACATGGAAATAGCAGCACCTCCACCGAAGGTCTTTCTTTCCCTTGGGGTTTCGTTAGAGTTTGCATTGATTAATTTTGTCTTTACTTAATAATTCTTCGTTTGTTAATATTGCATAGTAATAATAAACTAGTTACATTGCATTATTATAATAATACACAGCATTCCGTTTTCTAATTCGCGCTCAATTTCACTATTTAGAAAGAAGGCATTCGTGTCAATATCTTGTATGGTTCTTGTCGAAAACAAACATTTTGTACTGTTAAATCCCAATAGTGATTAGTATTAAATTTGTACTGTTATATCTTAAATGAAATTTTGTTTTGTAATGAGGGATTTAATATTAATTTTCAACCCACACCTCAAGCTTCTTTCGTGTAGCAAAATAGCCATAAAACCAGCTTTTAAGAAAAAGGCAAAAATGAAAAATCTCTTTCATGCCACTTCGAAGATGGACAAGATGGCATTAAATTAAAATAAAGAATCTAAACACAAGTATTTTACTTTTATATATGACAATCGAATTTTGTTTCAATTATTTAATTGTCCCGAACATGCAAAACCTTTATTTGAAAGTTGAAAACCAATGTTTAAAAAGAAAGAAAGTTGAGAACCATATATAAAGTAATGTAGAAAATTCCAACTACACGTGTCAGTGATTGGACTAATGATAAATCTATTTCCAGAGTCTCCATAACTTAGATGATAAACTATTTTCTTTGTAAAAGAGGGAGAGGTCGTGGCCAGAGAGTAGTAGCATGGTCCTGAAAACCAGGTTTATTAAAATAACTACACTAAACTTAAATTCATTCATAATTAAGTCTGAAAGAAAGAACATACAGCCTGAGATTTAGACAGTCTTCTAACACTAATCTCCCTTTTTGTTTCTAGTGAAACACAGAATCATGAGATTGGTGGCCTCCACTAGTTAATGTCATTAATGAAGGTTCATTAATGTTAATTATTGCTATTAGTTAAGTAACTCGTTGAAGGTTAATGTTGAAACAAAAATACAAAATACCGTTAGCTTGTTGAGATGGTTTTAAATTAATAAGTATTCGTATTACCTCACTTTTTGTTCAAAGCTGAAACCGTCGAAGAAATCAGGACATGTGCTAAGAGACTCTGTAAAACATGTTATTGTACAACAGCTTGTTAACAAACAAAAAAAGTGAAGAGCTTTGTCAGCTTGGTTTGCTTCAAGAGGATGAATAGCAACTCAGTTTCTATGATTTTTAAGCTTGTATAATCAGATAAAAGACCACATCTATTGTAAAAACGTTTTTTTTTTTTGGGGATGAATCAATTTAACATTTTTTCAAAAAAAAATGTGAATTTATAAATTGTTTATACTTTTAATCTTTTGAAAGAACATGATCGCCACATATATGATTTTGTG